AATACTACAGTTAACCTTGACTTTTGTAGTCCTAAACAGTAACTTTACAGCAGTTTAGTTTAAAACATTTAACGAAGCCTGAGATCACTCTTCCAACCTTTGTAGACAAAATGTACACCTAGCAATACGATAGCATCAATTCAAATTGGGGAAAGGAGGGGAAGAGGAGGCTGTTGAGGATTACAGCATAATTAAATAGAGAAGCACTAGCTAATCTTGGCTTTTTCCGCTTACTTTTCAGCAACTGTTTCATTAGTTGGTGGGAGCATAACAATACACCAGTATTTGTTCCACTTATAGGTGGCATACTCACATTTTTAGTGAAACCATCCCTATGCTGTTGCACATGATTTCCAACACTTTTGTGAAATTGGTGCCCTATTTTGGGAAGAGGTTTCTGCTCACTCGCGAATACTCTGGTTAACAGTAGTGGTCCAAAGACACATTACTAGGTTGCAAGTGGTATAAGCTGCTAATAAGGGGATGGAGCTGACAAACACAGTAGGATACAGGGTGCCCATTACTTCTGACCCAGTCACTCGAGCGGAATACAGTAGGACTGGACAACCACACCAATGGGTCTTAGGGCATCTTTTAAGATGTTTTCAGCTAACAGAGCTGGCAGAACAATCCAACACCTTTTATGGATTCTAAAATCAATAGATGCACCCATACTTCTTCTTTTCCAAAGTGGCTAGTGCCATTTAGGTGCCAAGAACCAAATGCTCCATTAAAAATTTCATAAGCCACAGGTTCACTGAGAAGAAGATACTGCAGGTTCTTCTGATTAGGCTAACAGCTGCAAAAGTCTAAACACTACCTCTCCAGAGCTTAAGAAGCTATTTCCCAAATCTAGCAGAAACCTGTCCCTACACTAACAACTGATCTGTGGCTTCTTCCCTTTCATTTCTATTCAGGCTCCCACACTGCAGTCAGCAGCAGAGAACTCTGAGGTTATATCGCCAATCTGAAGATCCATCTCTATATATTCCATCACACCCTACACAGTTACTTAGCACTGGCTACTTCTGCCATTTTCAGCAAAACTTAGGATCTCGCTGCATATTGTTATTTGCTCAAGACACAAGAGCTGTTGCAAGACTCCCTCTGGTCAGCCGCCTGCAGTTTCTGTATACATCTCCAGTTTCAGCCATGAGCAGGGGAGATCTTTCCACTGGGTCAGGCAGCAAGAGTAAAATTCTTCTCAGAACCCTCGTTAATGCATCTTTCCCCACCCCCCAACACTGTCTGCTACAATTAGTTTTAAAGCCTTGTAAGTCAGAAGCTGTTTCCTCAAGCACTTTGCAGCACTTGGCTTTCCTCTCTAAGCACAGACTAAACACAGTAACTGCACTGTCACTGTCTTGAGGGTTGTCACAAAGCTGAATCCTCCCTGACAGCAGGTACCACTGATGGTGGAACGTATATAACCCATGCGGGTCTGGGTGTCCCATAGGGATCCTCCAGTATATCTGCTGCTCTTCGCTGTATCTACTACAGATGGGGACAGCAGTATCCATCACATGTTGCTGCCAGTGACAGGCTTGCTCCTCAGCCCATACTCACACACTTGAATCAGCTTGCTCTTTAGGAAGAAGGTGATTTGCTTCAAAAACCTTGAAAAAAATATCTTAAGTGTTTCCATTCCCAGCAATAATTATTGCAGACGCTGGGCACCTCAGAGTCCCTGACACCCAGCAATAGAAACTCCTACCGAGAAGCTGAAGCAATCTGCTCACACTAATCCACCAAGCCTGGTTTGGTTTTTTGCTTGTCTGCTCCCTCCAGAGGCCAAGCATGCAAGGGCATTTTGCTGATGATCTTCCTCAACTGGGAATAAAATTCATTAACTTAATGATAAAGAAGAGTAGGGCTGACTAAGGAATATAGATGCTAGTGACCGCAGAAGAGACTCCTACACCATCACAGCCCAGACACACAAACAGGAGGCACCGGACTGGAGCCACCCACTTTTACAAGAGGGAAGAATGAGTGCCTGCAAAATACAAGAAGAGTACTCCAAAAGGGAATTTACTGTTAGGCAAGTGATGCAGTAATAAGGCCCCGAAACTGTTACCAAGTCTCTTTCAGCTTCTGATTAAGCTTTCTTTTCTTGAGCTGACAGCCTGGATATAAATAAAACTGCTGTGCAAGTGTCCTCTCTGTCTACAAACACATTGGCAAAAAACATGAAGAAAAGCTAATTCATACGACAGAAAACACAGTCTCATCTATGTATTTTTTTAAAGTATTTTTGTCCCACTAAGCATCTAAAGGAAAGTCCAAAAACATAATTGGTATAATTAAAACATCTGGATCCCAAGTGTGGCCCAGGAGCAAACAAACACTTGAAAGGAGGAATGGGTCTTTAGATGTTTCTAGTGGTACCCTGCTGCTAGTACCTACCTCCTAGATGGAATTACATGAAGGTACTGGGTATTTTCAGCTTGCCTCTCAATTTGGTTGAGATTGTATTTTATAATCACAAAGTTGATCTTTGGCGTTAAATTTGATGGCAAGATATAGCACAAGCAACCTGAATTAATCAATAGGAGCTCTGACTCATGCTTGCTGTGATAAAAAAAATAAAGGAAAGGCATCCTCCCTGTTCACCTCTTCTCCCTCCTTCCCCAAAGGGCACGCACATCCTCAGAAAAAATTCTGAAGATTCACTGTTTTGTGTCAAAATGAGGAAGCATTGCCAACAACTACCTTCACAAAAGCCAGCAACAAGCCTCAAGTTTAAAGGGACAAATAAAGCTGCATTCAGACTACTCCAAGATTATTTCAGATACTACTTTCCTCTTCCCACACAGAAGGCTGCACACACTTTAACTTTCAACTTTTAACTTTCCTGTGAAGTGGTCAAACTACTTAGACAGCATAGTGTTCACAGACAGAAACGTAGGCTTGAGTCCTCTACTGAACCATACAATACAGGTATTCAAGTCCCACAACATTCATGTTCAATAACAGCAAGTGATTGAAGCTTGCTCAACAGCAGGAGCAGTCAACGCCCCAACTCACCTGAAAACAAGACTTACCTCATCCCTGCAGGGCCACAGGGAGCAGCAGTCCCAGCGTTAGTTCACAACCCAGGCAAGCCACGAGTCCTATCCATCCGTCATGAAGAACCTGGTTAGGAGTACAACCGGGTACCACGAGCAAACTGTCACTCTCAGTCAGCTCATTTTCATTCATGGACATCACTCAGATTACAGAGCCATCGTTGTGCCAGCCTATCCTCTACCAGGTTGTACACTGTACACTAATTTACTTCAAGTATATATATATAAATGGTGCCATATACTGTATGTGTGGCATGTATCATATCTATGTATGGCAATAGCATATAGTACCACCTACATGCGTACTAGCATATACAGTGCACAGTCATATGATATAACCTATCAGCCATAACAAGTAAATGGCACAGAGCTCAACAATCATAGGTTACCAGCTCCTCCTCCTCCTGCATAAGGAGAGGTTTTTGGGTTTTTTTAAAACCATATACTTTTTTTCAATTAGCGTGTCTGGACTGTATCTGCTAAGGATTAGAGTGGAAAAGCATTAGGGCTGTCCAACCAAATGCACAGCAAGCCCCTATTATAAGGTGAAGAGACAAAGAAGATTTGGAACAACGAACAAAAACCACGATTCAAAGTTTTAATCACAGAGAAGACCTCGAAGTGGAAAATATCTTAGAGAACACAAAGTTTACACTTTAGCTGCAGAAAATTAATTTTTGAACCCCTACTTTAAGTTTTACACTATAGGTAAAAAGCCAGCAGCAGTTCCCAAAGTTAAACAAGAATTATTAAAAAATTAATCTAGAAAATACTCTTACAGATAGAGCACCTTTCATGGCTTTACAGTCAGCAATCCTGCAATCCTCCACCTGCCAGCTGCTGTTCTACCACTGTTCTTTGCATGGAGACACTGAAAAGAGAGCTACTTGTGCAAGCTGGTTTTCCCCCCAAAGAAAAGAGAAGCAAGAAGGGACAATATAGAGCTGCCTAGATTGGTCTGCGAAACGAGCATTAGCAGTGGACAGAGAAACAAGATGAGGAAATGTATTCAAGGAAGGCAACGCAGCCTAGCATGTGAGCAGAAACCAGTTGGTGCTGAGCCAGAGCATTAATAAGAAATTAACAGTTAAATAGGAAATTTCCTTAAAAACTGTGCAGAGTTTAGGCTGAGCCGGACATGAGCCTGGGAGCAATAAAGATTGCAAGGAACCTCAGGGCAAACCATAACCAATTCTGCCAGGAACAAAGATTCATCTTTGTCCCACAGCTGAAGTGCCTGTTATACTGGAGAACTCTGGTACAGTGAAATAAGTTCCTTGCAACAGCAGTGTATTCATTCGTATTTCTCCTTACCACTGACCGTGCACTTTACATTTTTCCCATGTGTACAAGATTGGTTTTGGCAAGTATAATTTCCGTAATATCTGTATCTTCAGCAAACATTCATTGTAATTTAATCATTAACTTTTCTGCTAGTGCAACTGAAAGAACAGACATCTTCTGCACTTGGACCTCAGGATCAGTTTTGAGAGCTTTTAACCATCTGCAGAGCTGCTCATAGATTGCTTAATATGTTGAAGAAACCAATGAGCTAGAGAATGGTTTACAAACCTTATCCTGAAACATTACAGCATTTATGTTGCTTCGCAATTGAACCTTATAGGCATACAAAACCAGTAAATTCATACACTTTAAGATGAGTGGAGTAAGAATGCTGTATTGGTAGTATCTTTTCCCAACATTTAGCAAGTTTTTACAATAAATATTTAAAACCCATGAAACATTTGGCAACATTACTTAATACTAAGAAAATGTTATCCCTAGAATAAGATACCAGATCCACATAAGGAAAATAGACACTACAATGAAAGAAAAAAGTAAAAGAGAAGACATTTTCGCAAAAGCTCTGGAAGTTCAAATCTAGCACAGAACTCCTCCTTAAAGATCATGTAAAGCAATGAGGCCACTCCATATTTAAAGCCATTTTGGTTTTATCTATTGGGGTAGTCACTTTACATCATACCAAAAAGACTGTATAACGAATACAAGTGTCAAGAATCAGATTTTTATGGCACAAAAGGAAGTTTTCCATTAACCTGCTTTCAGAGTTGTTAAATACATAATTGAAGACAAAGAAACTAAGGCTACCACAAAATAATATTTGCATGATGATGTTAGTCTTTATTCAGCTTCTTAACTGACTCCTCCAGTCTGAAGATGGAGAAGAATCTTTCCGTTAGTTTGTTTCAGTGATTTATTCTGGATGGAAAGATTCTTTTCCTACGTTTGACACAGATTTATTTCCTCATTTATATTGTTACTCAAAGTTCACATAAGCTTTAATGTTGTACCTTACAATGTATGGAATTTAAGATTAAAATAAAACTCTACTCTTAACATAACCTTTTCTATAATGTAAAAATATTCTACATGTTTAACATATCAAGAATGTTAAGCATTCACTTTGGGGAAAAACTATTTTATGCTTTTTTCAGTACAAACCCAACTGTTAATGTTTCGGATTAATGTATCCCTGTTAAGTTGGGTGCCACCCAGTGTTCATCTTCTGCAACTACAGCGTGACTACTGTACTTACAACACAGAAGAGCTACGCGTACAAGACAGTTTTTAACAACTGCAAATTTGAGATGCTGCTTATTTTTTATCTTTACTTCTCCCCTACCCCTCCACTGTGGCAAATTTACATCTTTGAAATAATGAGTGTTTTTAATTATCAAAATCAGTATAAAAATAGCAGCATGCTACTAGACATGAAAAGCAGATTCATCATGCATTATGAATTTAAATGCAGATTTCTGCCTTCCTTTTATATTATCAAAATCTTTTTAAAGTTAACATCAAGGCAAGGGGTATAAGGACAGACACTGCATAGTATGATTTGATACTAATCTGAACTGGGTATTTGTATTTAATCAAAATCCATGGTAATTACAGGGTAAACAATTTTTATTTCAAAATACAAGTTTAACTGGAATTGTAGTGATGAAAGCAGAAGAGGGAAAAATGCAGTCTTTTACAGCCCATGTCACTGTATCTCACTTACATCCAGAGGTAAAAGCTCTAATTGGTGAACAGACAAAATATTTGTGGCATTTCATTGAACCTTTGTGATAATCCAGCATTATCCATTTCTAAAGAAATATAAATACTTTAAAACAAACATTGAAAATAAATCCTTTTGATGTAACAAACTACACTCTTTACCGAGAATTTTCAGTCTTCTTAAAAGAAAGGGACTTCACCCAAAAAATAATCGAAATATCAATGTAGAACAATCCTTGGAGAAAAAAAGTCGGAATGTAAACCTCTGTTCCAAATTAGATCTGAAAAGCAAAAACACCACACCACATACTTAATTCACATGCATTTTTCATCAAGCAACTCTGTCTTTAAACTATTTTCATGGTTCAACAGGAGACTTCCTGAACTCAGTACAGTACTGTTTTTGCCTCAGCTCATGTCCTGTTTTCTTAACATGTGAACAACTACTCTCCTCTGATGTCCCCACCACTGTTATGATACTATAGTTATGCAGGTGAGCAATTCTGCCAATATAATCACACATAAATAGTACAGACATAAATTAGCCCACGATTCTCAAAAACGAAAGCAAAACTGAGTTTAAGGGTAACTTCCCTAAGTACTGACTATCCAAATTCATTTGGTGGCAAAATGAACAGTTTTCTAACCGTTCTTCCGACATAAACAACAAAGGAAAGGTTCCACCAAGTCTTTCACGTTAACTATGACCTTGTGTCCTGGTTTCAGCTGGGATGGAGTTGATTTTCTTCCTATTAACTGGTACAGCGCTCCATCCCAGCTGAAACCAGGACACCTTGGAAGCCGCACTTCATTCTAGGTAGACTATGATGATCCTCAGAGAGGTTATTCACATTTTATCTCTTTATGTCTTTTCCTTTCATAAAGCATGATATTGATATTATATCGCATAGCTAACAGAAGCTTAAAAACAATCATAGCTGCTCATCCATTATCCCAAACAAAGATCCATTAGTTTGCAAATTTTATTCTTCCAATATTCCTACAGCTACTTATCACTTTGACGTCTTACAATAGCTTCATTATTAAAAGCATGCAGTACTAGAAAGTGTTCCTAGCTTCAGTAAGCTAAATCTTCAGTAAGCTCAACTACTGACAGGTCCAAAGTGCAATTTTCAAAAATCTGAAGAAAAATTCATCAAGATTTTGGTATTTTTAAAGTATTTGATCTAATGCATCATGCATTAAGAACCTCAAAAAAGTCAAAATAATGTAAGCATTTAAAGAGAATTAGTCACATTACCAACTCAGAGAGAGAGAGGACTAAAAAGATGAAGAATTAAAACATAGTAATATACTTAGAACACTCTATCCGATTAAGTTAACTCACTGGCTCAGTAAGTTACTACTTATCCTCTCAGCCAGCTGACCCTGCACACATTCATCTCTCAACTGCAAAATGAAGTGCATCATCTTAGAAAACATTTCACAGCAGATTCTATTTCTGCAATTTACTATATAATGTGAATTACAACAATTTTAGTACTACAATTTAAGAGTGTGCATGGTCAGTTACTACGGTTTAGTGATAAGCAGTAACCCAACTGATTGTGACAATCTGTAAATTCAGGATTACGGTTAACTTTAGTAACTACTAAGATGCAGCTTTTTATGATTTTTATGTAAAGAAAAATGGAGACTTGAAGTCTTTGTTTTTTTAAAAACACAAATCCCTCAATTATTTCTGTAGTTATTATTAGATAGTGAGGTTGTTAAAACTACAGAGGAATCAGAAAGGTGAAACCCACACGTGTTCATGCAATTCCCCAGAACACCGACATAACCCGTGACCTGTTCCAGCAGTTGCCGGCCAATTAGTTTGCATCAGCAGCTTATGGCTCGCCCTGCCTGGGCTGAAGGGGCCACAGCTGCCCTACGTGACACAGGAGCCGACCCACCAGTCTTTGTGCCCGCTCCCCAAGAGGTTTTTCTAGCCTACTGTGCAGGGGACGCAAAGAAATCCTACTGGTCTGCTAAACCTTCCGGTATCATCTACTTTGCTTTCCACCATGAGCTTGTTGTAAGTAGCTTACACTTCAGAGAGCAGTACTGAGGGGCTACATTCAGTTCCTTCGATATCAACATACCCAGCTACATCCATATATGTAGCTGTCGACTCACGTAACTGCAACTCCTCGTGCACACACACACACATATATATATATGTACACACAATCATTTGAATGGACACTGCTATGTAACTCTAGGTCTTTGGGGTCAAATGACTGATTTTCTTTTAGTTATCTTAAGGATAATGAGAAGACTGCTCTCCATGTATGTTTCAATAGTATGACACTAAGCATACTATTTGCTTAGAGGTCAGCTAGGGGATGACTGTAGGACAGAAGAGAGAACAGAAAGCTGCCATGCATACGTCCACACCACTTTCTGAAGCAGTCCCTGAGAAGGTGAGCTATTCTGAACATCAATGTATTATTTTACTTGCTCTAAAACAAGGAAAACCAGCTTATTGCCAAAGATGACAGTTTCAAGCATATGATACAAAACATATGTTTACTACTTACGTCATCAATATCTTCATCATCATCTCCAATATCATCAAACTGGATTTCATCATCATCTCCAGGACCAAATGTGTCTGTTTCATTGATTTTAGCTAAAAAGGAATTTAGAGAAGTTAAGGAGTGCACTCACACCAAGTCAAGATAGATTGAAAATTCTTGTCCAATACAAACTTCCAATTGGAAGTGAAAAGATTCTTACCATGTTCTGGAAGCTCTCCATATGCTTTCAGACTTCTGGCTTCATCTGCATTGTACTTTAGAATAACATCAGCCTTGTTATCCTAAATAAGAATTTATTAGAATTTATTAGTCATCTATGAAGAAAAAAACCTCCCTATTAACCTTGGCAGACTAGTAACACCTATATTATTTACAGAAGAATATCTTGTTCCTCCTTTCCCTCCAGTTCCTTTAAACGTGAAGTAAAAAATGCTCATTTGTAGAATATCTTCATATCTTCTAGGTGATAACGTAATTTTTTCATATTATAAGTAATTTGAGAAGTTCAGTTTCATGCCTTTGAAATTACTCTTTCTTCAGAGAACACACATAGCGAGGTGTTTGGTGGTAAGTCAGAAAGTGTCAAAACTTCCTAGTTTTAAGTAGCTTAATATACACAGTAAATGACAGTATCTTAAATGCTTTACAACTCTTAATGTACATTTCAGAAGCAGAATCTATCTTCAAACAACTGATGACACAACAATAACATTCATGAAAAAGCATTCACCCAATGAAAATTTGACAACTGTTTTCCATTAACCTTTACATTAGGTAAAATTATGCTACTCCATTTTTGGAAATTTAAGTAGAAACTAATCACTGATCAATTGGCCTTTTAAGGTAAAAGCCTAAATATCAAGGCTCCAAAATTCTGATTACCAAAAATTCTCATGATCACAATAAAATGTTTGGTGCTTGGCTCAATCTCCCTTGTACCACAGGATCCAAGCATTAAGCAGCTACACCTGGAAAAAAAAGGTCAGGTGTGATGCCAATAAGCACCTTCACTCACAAAGTCTCAGGCTGCAATTTAGAAGAACAAGTTGAACCAGGATTTGTCATCTACTCATGAAAATCTTTCTGTAATACAAGGAAACTAAGAGCCATGATTTAGCATAACTAAATACAACTTCAAAGAAAGTTAGATGGTCATTTCCTCATGATACCTGCTGCAATTTAACATTAAATAAAGCTGTTTGTAAGATATTCTTCATTGGCAAATTACACTGAATTTTTACCTGGTAGTCTCTTAAGCCAACCAATATAATATCAGATGTATTTATCCAAACCTGAAAGAGAAAACGTATGTTATATTGCAGGAATTCAACTTTTGTTGTGTAACACAAGAGTCAAACAGCACATTTAGGTTTACTGAGAGACATGAAACATTTTACTACAGCCACCATTTTCACTTTCTAACCAGTAAACCAGAAATACCCAATTTCGTTCTTTAACAGCAAAACCAAGGTCATTAATACTCACAGATATATTATTTCACATGTTACGGCGCTATTACTAAGGTAAATCAAACTTCTTTGAAGAGCTTCTAGCCAACAAGGTGGTTATTAAGTCATAACTTCTGAGAAAACAGAAATAATGCATCAAGGCACTCTCTGAACTGAGCTCCACAAGGGCAAAAATGAAAGAAAAACCTGATGAAGGGAATGATGGACAAGCACAGTGAAGAGTACAAGTCGAGTTGTGGTCGAGTGCTTGTGGGTAAGGACGAGGG